ATCATTGCTGGATTTCTTTTCCAGTTTATCCCATCCAACATGCTGAAGAAATTTTGCACTAGCACTACAATAAACATGAACCGTGCCTTGATCCCAGAATCTAAATGATCTATGGTTGGCTTCATAACCTACAAAAAATAATTTCTTAGCTCCATGTTCCCCTTTCATTTTTGTGAGGGAATATGCACCCATGCTGGAGCTCCAAATCTGTGTAGGTAACTTAAATTTGGTTTTCTGCCATGCCAATGAGTGAATGGCAATTCTCCAGTTGTTGTATTAACTACATTGTTTAACACGGTTGCTACACATTATGGCCTTATCCCACAGTGTTTCAGGTAAACCTGAATCAGATAACATAGTGCAAGCCATGGCTTGTAATGTTTGCCCTTTTCGTTCTACAAATGAGTTATGTTGTGGTCTGTAAGGTGCAGAACGTTTATTCTCAACACCACCCAATTTCAACATAGTTTGGAATCTTTTGTTAACAAACTCAGTCCCATTATCAGTAACTAACTACTTTACTTTTCATTTTTCTCTCAGCAAACCTCAGCCAGTTAAAGAAATGTTGGAATGTTTCTGTTTTGTTTTTCATGAGATAGCAGAAATCATAGCTTGAGTAATGATCCGTAATACTCAATATATAGCAGGCACCTCCTAAACTTGGTTTGTTAGGACCAATTATGTCAGCAAAAACAACCTCTAAAGATTTATTTATTTATTTATTTATTTGATTTGATTTGATTTGTCAATTGCTTACAAGATAATAGGTATAAGTATATACATAGTTATGAATACATGAAATGGGTACATATAAGAAAAATAAAAAACAATAGGACAGGGACAGTAGGCACGTTGGTGCACTTATGCACACCCCCTTCAGACCTCTTAGGAAAGGGGTGAGGTCAATAGTAGACAGGTTAAAGTTTTGGGTGTTTGGGGAAGAAACTACAGAGTCAGGTAGAGTATTCCAGACATTGACCACTCTGTTGCTGAAGTCGTATTTCCTGCAATCAAGTTTGGTGCGGTTAACCTTGAGTTTGTATCTATTGTGTGCTCTTGTGTTGTTATGGTTGAAGCTGAAGTATTCATTGACAGGTAGGACATTGCAATGTATGATTTTATATACTATACTTAGATCAGACCGAAGACAGTGTAATTCAAGGTTTTCTAGGTCTAGAATTTCAACTCTGGTGGCATAAGGTATTCTACAATGAGTAGAGGAGTGGAGAACTCTTCTTGTGAAATATTTCTGGACTTTCTCAACTGTGGTAATATCAGATACGTAATGTGGGTTCCAGACCGATGAGCTGCATTCGAGTCTTGGTCTAGCAAATGTTTTGTATGCTCTAGTTAGCAGTGTGATATTACCAGAGAAAATGCTACGTAGGATTAGGTTAACAACTCTTAATGCCTTTTTGGCTATGTAGTTACAATGGGCTCTAGCACTTAGATCATTAGAGATGAGTATTCCAAGGTCCTTTACAGAGCTTGGATCATCAATAAGATCTTGACTATTCAGCTTGTATTTTATTTTCTGATTTTTTTTGCCAATATGTAAGACAGAGCATTTATTTGTTGAGATTTGAAGTTGCCATTTTTTTTGACCATTCTGATACATAGTCAAGATCTTTTTGAAGGGTAGCAGTATTGTCTGTGGTATTGAACAGCTTTATATCATCAGCGAAAAGAACGCAGTTGCTCTTCATATGATCACAGAGGTCATTTATGTAGAGTATGAAGAGAGTTGGTCCTAGAACACTGCCTTGGGGGACACCACTATTGACAGGTACAGAATTTGATAGGACACTCCCAATTTTGACCATTTGTTGCCTGTTTGACAGGAATGCATCTATCCAGTTATACAGTTGTCCAGAGATACCATAAGATTTTAGTTTTAGGAGTAGTTTGTCGTGTACCACTGAATCAAAGGCTTTACAGAAGTCTATGTAGATTGCGTCTATTGCTTTGCCCTGATCGAGTTGTGTAGTCCATATGTAAGAGTTGCAGATTACAGGATAGTTTTTTCCTGAAACCAAATTGTTTATTGGAGAGTAGGTTGTTTGTCTCTAAGTGGAGGATAATGGATTGGTTAATAATTGATTCCATGACTTTACAGGTGACACAGCATAAGGAGATTGGTCTGCAATTTTCAACTAGGCTGGGGTCTCCCTTTTTGAAGATGGAAATGACTGTTGCTTGTGACCATAGGTTAGGCAAGGAGCTGGTCCTGAAAGATTTTTCAAAGATTATGCTTAGAGGTTCCGCTATGGCAGTGGATAGCTTTTTTTAAAGAAGTAGGCACATATTCCATCCGGTCCAATAGATAGAGATGGTTTTACATTGCGTAGTGCTTTTTCAACATTGTCTTCTGTAAAATCAATATGTATTAGATCATTGTAGTTGTCTGTGGTTCGGCTAGGAAATACTGGGCATGATCCATTGCTGTTTACAAATACTGAGCCGAAGAATGTGTTAAAGATGTTGGCTTTAATGGTGTTGTCATTGCAGTCTTTACCATTAGGTCCTATCAGGGGTGGGATGGACCTTGAGTCTTTTAGTTTGTTGTTTACAAAATTGTAAAAAGCGCAGGTGGAATTGGTGCATAGAAGGTTTTCCTCTTGTTTAATGTGATAATTGGTGCATTCAGTCTTTATCTGGTGGCATACATTTTTGTATCGGCTTTTGAAATTGGCAACGTGACCAGATTAGTTTTTCCGCCAGAGTGATTTCTTTTTGGATTGAAGTTTCCTTATTGTTATGGGTAATCTTTTTTGTTTTGGGAGTTGCTATTGGAGTTGTTGTTGGGAGTTGTTGTTGGTTCTTTGGTCTTAAACCCATTAAGTCTGTTTGCTGGAATAATCTTGCTTTTCTCTTGGCTACAAGCATTACAGTTTAAATACTTGCTACAGGGTTTCAATTTTACTCCCTCTGACAATTCAACAGTTTGTTTGAGCATTTTGAAATTAACGTGCCCCAGACATCTATGTAGTAAATGTATACATTCATCATGTGGCTTAACATTGTTATAAACTGAGTTAGCCATCTTCAACTGGTCATCATGTATCACATATAAATCATTCTCTAAAGTAGCAGTAACACTTTTACCCTCTTTCTCTATTATACAGTTATCTCCCTTAAAGGTTACTACATAACCAACATTAACTAAAGCCCTTACTGATAATAAATTAAATTTCAGTTTAGGTACATATAACATAGTTAAATGTTCGTTTATACAAGAACAATATGCAGTACCTTCACCTGACGCGTTAATCTTCCATCCATTTGCCAATGATACGTGTTGTTTACTCATGGACATCTTTACAAACTTTTTTCTATCTTTAGTAAAGCATTGTGATGCTCCACTATCAATAACCCACAAATCATGGTTTACAGTTGAATTGCTAGACATAGCTAAACTAACATTCTTCTTGGCCTTCTGGTGTTTACTAGTATTCTGTTGTTTTCCCTTCTTACAGAATCTAACTATATGTCCCCTAGCCCCACAAGAAAAACATTTCCTAACATTATAGGCAGTTGAAGATAAATCCTCCTCTTGTGGTTGTTCCTTCCTCAGTTGGTTCCTATCCAGCTGTCTTCTTGCTTCTTCCAGCAATCTTCCAGTTATGTCAGTCAATGTCAGTTTATCTCTGGGCAGGACTTCCAGTGAAGATACGTCATCATCATAACTTTCATCCAGTGAGGAAAGAATGATGTAAACTTGATGCAGCTCTGAAAATATCAGTTCCTTTTCATGTAGCTCTTGAAAAGTTCTTTTCATGAAGTTCAAATGAGCTAACATATCTCCACCTTTCAGAATATGTGTTCTAAACAGTTTATGTGTAAGATGTATGTGTGCGCCTACACTGTCACGAACATAAATCCTCTTCAAATTCTCCCAACACTTAGCAGCAGACTCTTCTCCACGAATATGGACTAGCTGCTGGTCACTCAGTGTTAGTCCAATTATACAAAGAGCTCGTTCATTGTTCTGTTTAAAGTCAGCAAGCTTCTTGGCATCATCCTCATTAGCTGGATCCCAAACATTTACATCCGGTGGGTCTTGAACTACATTCCATAAACCTTCTCTATGCAGAAGTAGACTGCACTTCATAGACCAGGAAACATAGTTTGTTCCATCCAACCGGGTTATCAGTGATAGACTTGTTGAAGTGACTTGTGCCATCTTTACCAGGATAGTAAACCACAGTTAAACAGTAAGCAGCTGTCTGGATACAGTACTGTGTATTCACACCAATTCTCAGTTATCTGAGCCTGGTATGGCCTGGGCCCATAACCAGTGTTGAGGTAATTCCCCATTAGGAGAATGAGAGCATACAGGGAGACGTATTTGAGAGCAGTGTTTGAATAATACACACACACAGCACAAAGATACGCTGTACATTAAATGTATGTTTTTACTTCCAGAAAGGTTTAAGCAAATTTCAAAATAAGCAGTCCAAAGTCATTCACAGGTAAGTCAGTCAGTTTTCAATACAGGAATAATCCAATACCAAAGTCCAGTGTCAAAAACAGTTCAATATCAGACTTACATCAAATCCATGAATATCAGTCAATTAGGAAAAGTGGAGGAACGGCAATACTCTCCAACAGAAGGAAACAAAGAGACTCACTCAGACACACTCTCTTTTGAGACTAAGACTTAAACAACCCAGGTTTCTGGCTCCATCTTATGGCCGTTTGAGCAACCACCCAATTACAGTTTTGCATTTTCTTAAAGATACAATATTAAAATGTCTATCCTGGTTTATAAATTTTCAACCCAAATAGTTGTTAGGTGACTTATATTCCTAACAGACATATCAGTAGCAAATGTACTAACTACCAGTAAAATATTGGCACATGTAATTAATGGAATGGAAAACAAAAAGATATTGAAGAAAACCCACACATGTTTGTTTCTGTAATAAATAATTCAAATCTTGAAAGTATAATTATTTTAAAATTATAACACCAAGCACCTACATCCATAGGAAAAAAATAGGTATGTTTTTTGAAGCTGTTAAAATAGAAAATTGTCGTGTTTGCATTGTTTCAGATCATTTAGCTGTATTTTTAGTTGTTCAAGTAGAAACACTATTTTCCTATTATAAGATTAATGGCCCCATCTTTATAAATACTTTCTAGAAAATTACATTAGGTAACAAAAAGACCCTTTATAATGCAAATAATCAGGATCCTTATGAACAATATTGCTTTATCATTCAGTCTATCATAAATACTATAGTAGTATTCTCAAGAAGAAAAGGTTATTTTGTTGACGATGCTTCTGATAAAATTACATTTTTGTTGATCTGGTCCTCTTATCCATTTTAAATTAATTTATTAAACAAAACTATTACAGAATATTCTTATTTTTGAGCCACTCAGGATGAATCAGCATTTTAACGCTACAGGAAAAGCATTATACATTTTTATACATTTACGAAACAACAAGGGATTCAGTATGCTGGAAATTTGTAATTCACAGTGTAATTGTCATATGTCAGGAAGTTACACCCTTGCCTGGCAAATACATTTCTTGGTAAATTTAATGCTACTCAGATTTTGTAGTTCAATTCAGGAAAAATTATTTCATAAGCATAGGATGCAAGATTCCACCCCTTAATTTTTTTTAGGGATAGGTCTTCTGAGGACTTTAGAACTAAAAGCCTGAGAAAGAAATGTTTGCTCTGTCAATGAAATTGTGGGACAGTCACATAAATGTTAGTAATTTGATTAAAAGAAAAGTATATAACAGCTTTATAGCAAATGAAACCAAGAACTAATGAGCTCATTATCCCATATATTTGATATTAATTTGGAAAGTGGAATTCTTAACTTTCTTTGATAACAGCAGCTGATTATATTTGCCATTTCCTGGAAGTTCTCATTTTATTTTCAGGAATGCTATACCTATTTTGTGTCGTTTCAGGTATTGTATGGAAAAACGAAAACAGCTTTCTCTATGAATCCATACAGTACATACATATTAGCGATCACCGCTGATAACAGTGATACAAAATAAAAGGTGGCTGCCATCTGCTGGCCACCAAGTCCGAATACGTGGGTGGGTGGGTGGGTGGGTAACCACATCAAAAGACATAAAATGTGAACAATTTAAATAAATTTACTGAAAACAAATATAGAACAAAATGCAATTTAAATTAAATATTAAATGAAAATTTATGGAATAACAAAACAAAGATTTTCTCAGGCATCTCTAATAGCCTATTTTAAGGCAGCCTCTTATCTTTATTCAAATCTTTATTCAGATTTTTTACTAAAAAAAAATAAATCCACACTTTTCAAAATGTTTAATTAGGAAAAATACTCATCTAATCAGAAAGACTTCCAGAAGAACCAGGTGACTTTTTTTTCCTTCTTCGTAGCTGTAATTGCAGCTGAAGCTTGTTAGTGAAGAAAAACTGCTTCCACCCAATTTCTTGTGCCAGGGACTTCATTTCTGGAGTGATGGTGCCCAATAAGTCTTGCACAATCACTTCCCATAGTTTGTCAGAGTTGCATAACTATTTATAAAACAAATAAAAAGTGTGAGCAGATAAAAATAGATTTATTAAAAGCAAATAAATATTAGGATCTGATTCCACTGGGCTATTTGAGTTCCAGCATTTGCATGTATTTATACAAATGAGACAACTGCATAATAATGTTCATATCCATAATTTATAGTACCTGGTATCACCTCCTTCAGTATCAACTCTACATTTTAAAAATGATTCAAATGCTACTTAGGAACCATCCTTTATTTCAGTTACTTATTACAACCATCCATTTTGAATCTGATACTGCTGATCCAGCTGAGGCTATGCTTCAGTATTGTCAGCCTCAGGACCCAGAGATCAGCCCCCGAGATCTCCTCTTCCAATGTAACAGTCTGATGACAAGGCACCACCCCCAAGCTCCAAGTTTAGACATCTATAGAGGCAAGCAGAGCAATTCTTCTCAATGAGGCTCCTTATTAAACAAAGGTGAGGCATGAGTGATTGCAGCCAACTGTTAGCAGACAGATTTAGGTAGTTTCTTTCGTTTCAGACTTTTGCTGGAAATAATCATTTGGCTATCTAACGGATGACTCTTGCTTTTGACCCTTTGGCTGACTACCTCATTTGGCTTTCTGTGACTCTTGAAACATATTTGGGTGATGTTTTTGCTTCTTGGACTGTAACAGCATTTTTTAGGCAAAGGCATTTTACTAGGCATCTGAGTTACATTCCTATTTGCTGTTATTTGTTTTAACGGTAATAAATACTTCAGCTTTGAAGTGTGTGCCAGCAACCTTGAAACAAAAAAAATCTGAACTTTTCCTGATTTTAAGATTTTATGGTAATAAAAATAATAAAAAACACTAGCATCTGTTTGACCAGGGCTACTCTTATAGAGAAAAATAGGAATTAGACAAGAACAGAAATCTGTGGCCTTTAATATAATATTAAATTCCTATCCCATGGAGTATGGGCAATGGTCATAAACAATGGAGGTTCAATAACTTTCACAAATTCCTCACATTTGAATTTGAAGTTTGGCCAACTGTAATTAAGAAACTGGTATTTCTGGTATATACTACCAGAAATTACAATATAAAACATCCAACAATTTACTTGAATGAAAATTGTTCCACTTTAATTGGATCACTAAGCATAAACATATATTTTTATGTAGGAGATAAAAGCAGAGTGGCAAGTTTAACTATGGTTGTTTGTATCATAGATAATTTTGACGTGCCTTTTTAAATGAAACTTAGATAAGATGTTTTTAAAAAATTATTTATCCTTGATATGAGAAAGATGCTAAAATGTATGGATTTAATAAAGAATTAACAGAATTACACCAGATATTAACTGGGAGAGATGAAAAACTAATAAAGAAAATATATAGCTATTTATTAAGCAAGTAAAGGAGACAATTTAAATGAAATTTAAATGGGGCTAAAAGCTTTGGATATACAATAAAACTGGATAAATGGCAGAAATTGTGGGATAGAAATGTTAAATTAACTATGTCAAATGCATACAAAGAAAACTTGTATAAAATGTTTTATAGATGGCATTTCTCACCAACAAGATTGGCAAAGATGCTTAAAGACATGTCCGCTAAATGTCGGAAGTGTAACCAGACACCTGGTTCATACTATCATATGTTGTGGACATGCCCAAAGGCAAAAAAATATTGGAAAAATACATACTTGGTTGGAAAAAATGATAAAGCAGCATCTAGATTTGAAACCAGAAATATATTTGTTGGGCATCCTACTGGAAAAGTATGACAAAAGAAATATATATTTGATTTTACATGTACTAACTGCAGCCAGAGTTGTATTTGCACAGCAATGGAAAAGCAAAGAGATCCCGACAGATGAGAGTGTAACTAAAAAAAATATTAGAATGTGCAGAAATGGACAGATTAACACTTACAATTAAGGAAAAAGAAGCAACTGAATATTTCTTGACATGGAGATACAAAAAGGACTAATGTTATAAAGGAGAGTTGTTAAAGTAGATAAATGAAATATTATTATTATCATTGAATTAATATGTGATGATTATTACTGTAAACATTGATTTTGATTTCCTAAAAATAATTGTACCCAGATAACATATTGATTGAAATTGAATTTTTGCGCTTTTATACAAATAAAACAAAAAATTGGAAATTTTTTAAATCAAATTCCTCTTTAGGCAACATTCTGATAGTACATATCTGATCTATAATCACTTAAATGTATCAAATAATGATAAACAATAAAATCTGAAATCTTATATAAATCCTATATCTGTTTACCTAGGGATAAACCTTATTAAGACTCAATGGTGTTTGATATATAAATGTAGGATTATTTTGTAAAACCGTTTTTCTTGAGCCTTGTTAATATTTGAATTTTTTTAGAATGTTCTTTAAAAAAAGTAATAAACCATACTTATAATCAAAATTAAGCTGTTAAAAAGGCAATTCTGTTACTTTCCATTTTGTATTAGGTTTAAGCTTCCATTATTATTATTGTTGTTGTTGCTGTTGTTGTACACAAAAATGATAGTATACACAGCAGACGAGATAACCATGCTGGGTTTCGTATCACAAATCACTAGTCGAACACTTCCCAAGTGTTTAGGACTGTGTGATGTATCGGCAATTATGCGAGCAGATCCCAGTAAGGTGGCCTTCTGCAGCTGACCAATGGTGATCTTGTCAGCGCCAATTGTTTTTAAGTGCTTGTCTAAGTCTTTAGGCACAGCATCCAGTCTGCTGAGTACCACTGGAACCACCTGCACTGGTTTATGCCAGAGTCTCTGCAGTTCGATTCTCAAGTCCTGATATCTGGTGACTTTTTCAAGTTGTTTCTCGTTGATTCTGCTATCACCGGGTATGGCAATGTCGATGATCCACACTTTTTTCTTCTCCACAATTGTGATATCCAGAGTATTGTGTTCCAGAACTTGGTCAGTCTGTATTCAGAAGTCCCACAGTAGTTTTGCATGCTCATTTTCGACCACTTTTTTGACCACTTATGATCCCACCAGTTCTTTACTATAGGCAGATGGTAGTTGTGACACAAGTTCCAGTGGACCATCTGAGCGATTGGGTTGTGATGTTGTTTGTAGTCAGTCTGAGCTATTGTCTTGCAATAGCTCAGTATGTGATCAATGGTTTCATTGTTTCTTTGCAGAGTCTGCATTTAGGGTCATCAGCAGATTTTTCTATTCTGGCTTTGATTACATTAGTTCTGATGGCTTGTTCTTGGGCTGCAAGAACCAGGCCTTCTGTTTCTTTCTTCAGTGTTCTGTTGGTCAGCCATAACCAGGTCTTTTCCTTATCTACTTTTCCTTGGATCTTTTCAAGGAAATGTCTATGCAGTGCTTTGTTACACCAGCTGTCAGCCCGAGTTTGCATCGCTGTTTTTCTATATTGATTCTTGGTTTTCTGCACCTTGAGCAGCTTCCTCTTGCTGACCTCCATCAAAGCTGGTTCAACACTGTCTTTCACATAATCTGCCAGAGCGTGCTTCTCTTCAACTGTCTGCTTCACTTGCAAAAGTCCTCTGCCGCCTGCTTTTCTGGACAAATATAACCTGTCGATGTCACTATGCGGGTGCAGCGCATAGTGTATGGTCATCAGTTTTTTTATTTTCCTATCCAAGCTGTCCAGCTCTGCCTGTGTCCAGTTTATGATCCCAGTAGTATATCTGATGATGGGTATGGCCCAGGTATTTATAGCCTTGATGGTGTTACTGCCATTCAGTTTGCTTTTTGGAAGTTTTCTGACCCTTTGTGTGTATTCTTTGCTGACCACATTTTTCACTTGCCTGTGCTTGATATTATCCAGCTGCAGTATGCCCAGGTATTTGTAGGCTTCGGGTGGTGGCACTTGATGGTTTGTCCATTGGGCATTTCCATTCCATAACTTTCTACAATCTTCCCTTTCTTCAGTGCCACTGTGGCACATTTGTCCAGGCCAAACTCCATGCTGATGTCAGTGCTGAAAATTCGAACTGTATTGGTCAGTGACTGGATTTCAATTTCTAATTTTCCGTATAACTTCAGATCATCCATGTACAGCAGGTGATAGATTTTCTGTGAAGTTTTAGCAGTTTGATAACCCAGGTTAGTTTTCTGTAAAATTGTTGACAGTGGGATCATAGTGATGATGAACAGCAGAGGTGACAAAGAATCACCCTGCCAAATCCGTCTTTTGATGTTGACCAGTCCATAGCTTTCACTTCCAATAAACAGTTCAGTTTTCCAGTGCTTCATCGCATTTGCAGTGAAAGTACCAATGCACTTGCATATTCCGATGACATCCAGGCACTTGATGATCCAGCTGTGCAGTAGTGAATCAAATGCTTTCTTGTAGTCAATCCAAGTTGTATGTTTTTTGGCTTTTGCAGTTCTCTAAAATCATTTTGTCGATCAGCTGATCTTTTGTGCCTCTGCTTCCCATTTCTTTCCTTTCTGCTCTACTGGCAAGATGTTATTTGCTTCTAGGTAGACCTGGATCCTGTCAGCTATGATGCCGGTCAGCAGCTTGAACATGGTTGGCAGATACGTTATTGGCCTGTAATTTGCAGGTGTTGCCCCTTTTGCTGGATCCTTCTGTATCAAGTAGGTTTTCTCAGCTGTTAACCATTCACTGATGTTTCCTGTCTGCAGCATCTCATTGAATTGTTCAGCCATTTTTCCGTGCAGGCTGGTCAGGTATTTGTGCCAAAAGTTGATCATTGCCAGGCGATGTCCAGTTGCAGTTGATCATTGCCAGGCGATGTCCAGTTCTTGACTTTTTTTACCCTGTTGCTTATCATTTCAGTAGTTATTTCCAGTTGGTCCATTTTGTTCTTGGAGAATTTCGTCTCAAAGTCTCTGATCCACCCAGCATTTTTGTTGCAACATTTCTCAGTCTCCCATAGGTCTTTCCAAAACTAAGTAGTTGCCATTTTTTCAGGTTTTTCAATTTTCGTATTCCCCATCTGATTCAGACTCTGATAGAACCGTCTTTGGTCTGATTGGAATAATTGATTTTGTTTGTACTGGGTGACTCTGGCTTCGTATCTTTCAATTTTTTTTGCTGTTGCTGTTATCTGCTGCTTCACAATTTCCAATGCTTCATCAATTTTTCTTGTGCTGAGCCCATATTTTTTATCAGATGTTTCTTGATCTTGCTGTTCTTCAGCTTTTTCTCCCGCAAATGCTTCAAGTTGCTTGCATCTGCTCATAGGCTCTTGATTTTCAACTCCAACCTGATTTTCTACTGAGGTTTTCTAGTTGATTTTCTAAGGGGCTGCGGCTGTTGAATCCCCAGTTCTTCTGTTACTATGACTGCTGTACTGTAGGCAAGCTGATTTGTTTGTTCAATTGATGTTATCTGGACTGCTGCAAGTGCATAGTTCGCATATATCATCAATGGCACCAAATATTTTCTAGGCACAGTCTTCAATGTTGGAAGCCGCTTTCTTTCTGCATTTGTTGCAGTGTTTGCCAAGATTTTAGCTTCCAGTTCTTGCTGCCTGGCATTGAGCACTCCTGGTGTTTCAATGATGACTTCAGGCCCTTGCTGATCCTGTTTTTTCAAAATATCTGCATTTTCTTTGAATTCAGGCTGTTCAGTTGCTCCAGATGTTATTGGAGTATTTTCTGCTGCCACTTCAGCAGTCTGCTGTTCAGCAGTCTGTGTTCTTGTTTCACAATTTTTCCGTATTTCTTCAAGTTCGACTTCATTGAGCACTTTGTTCCAAGTGATGAATCGTCATTGATTGGCTAATTGTAATTCAGTTATCCTTGAGTCTGGATATTTTTGTTTCCATAACTTATACATCATTTTTGGGTAGCCTCATTTTTCTGGTTCTGCTTTGTAGTAGCATTTCATTACATTGCAGTTCTCTGACATGGTGTATTTCTGCCACTTCTGAGGTTGTTCAGCTTCCAGTAGCCCTGCAGGCCCATGCCCCCTGGTTGCTCAGCTTTGGGACCCGTGGCCTGTAGCCCTCTTGTCGAGGGATGCCCAGGTTCCCCAGGTCCTTGTTAACCCAGGTGACGACCGAGCCGGTATAGACTTCGTTCGGGTTGTGTTTCACCATGATTCATTGCATGGGTTATTGGGTGCACATAGTTCTGCTCCTTGGCCAAGACCTCTCTGGCATGGTTGGACCTGCTGGTAGTTTGTGCTACCACCAGCACAGCTCTCAGCTTCATTGGAACAGTTAAGCCCCCCGCCACGCCAAGACGGCACCCCGTGGGATATTATTATTATTATTATTATTATTATTATTATTATTATTATTATTA